TCAAATTCGGTTAAATTCTGAACGAAGATTTCAAAAGTGTAACAGTTAAGTTGCGTACAACGTATTTATGTTTGCGTGTTTTAATTTTTAGATTATAACAATTTTAAAATAAGTGTACGTAAAAATAAAAGTATTATCAAAATAATTATTAACATTGTGAAACTCCATACCTTATTGGTGTTTACAAAAATATAAGAACATTATATTATTAAAAAATATTTATTTTGTTTTTGTTTTAATTCGATATGAATTATGACTTTTATATAAACAATTTACAATATACTTGTACAAATTTAAAAGCGGACTTGTTTATGAAAATAATGAATTTAAGTTATTTAAATAATGTCAATACAAGAACGTTAAATTTTAGATTAGTTGTAAAAAAAAAAAAAAATGGTATATTAAATTTCAATATACAAATAATAATATACTTATTATTATTTTTTTTTTAAATAAATAATCTATAATGTTCTTAAATTCAGTTAAAAAAATTTAATTTTCTTAATGAGTTACATATTAGCTGTATATAAATTATCGGGCAAATGTAAATTCCCCTAAAAAATTAAATAGTAAATTGCCCTATTAGTAAACTCCCCTAAAAACATTTTGCTACCATATTACACTAACGTAAACTCCCCTAAAAACATTTTGCTACCGTATTACACTTACGTAAACTCCCCTAAAAAAATTAGAACTATTTAGAGTAACCCAGAGGACACCACGTGGAGGTGGTTCTAGTTATACTCCAAAAATATTTGTATTATTAACTGCATATATACTCGTAATTCTTTATTCATATTTTATAATTAGAAAAATTAATTTTTATCGTTATACTATTAAAATTATTAAAGTTGATTTTATTATGATGATTATTTTTTGATGGAGTAATAATATGAAACGGTTTTTATAAAATGAAATGTAGTAATTTTTTGTTCTTTATAATTTTCTATTAGCTGGTTTAATAATTGTTGACGTCTTTTTAACTTAATATTTACTCGTAATGGTTATTTGTATGATATTTTTCTAATTATAAAATATGAATAAAGAAATATATATGCAATTAAAAATACGAATATTTTTGGAGGATAACTAGAACCGCCTCTACGTGGTGTCTTCTGGTTTACTCTAAATGGTTCTAATTTTATTAGGAGAATTTACAATATTTTAGGGGAATTTACATGTGCCCAAATTATCGTATCCTTTTTATCTTTTAACTATAATAAGTTATAATTATTTATAACTAAATATTTTTGTAACATTTATTTGAATAATTTAATATGTTTATTGTAATTATAGACACTTATGGACATATTCGTTACTTCTTATATTTTAAATATGGTTAAATATTAAGTATTTATAAAATTAATTTATGAAAATGTAAGTTTTTATAGTTTTTATTTTTCGTTAAATCAATAAAATCAATAAAAAAATAAATTGAAATAATAAATTAAGCTATACACTCTAATGCATTCTCATAAATTCACTTTAAATAATTAATCATAGATTATATAATATAATAAGTACAAGGTCCATAATAATGACCAGTCAGGTTTCATAAGATCTACTTAATTGACTAATTAATGTTCACAATGTGTACATTAGTTTAAATGAAATTGTATTTTATTTAAGTTACTAGAATGATGTTTATTATAATATATAATCCTGTACAAACTGTTATGAACCAGAACATATACGTATTTTATTTTGAAATAATGTGAATAGTTTTATGATTTATTTTTCTCAGTGGCTTAATTTGATTAGCAATACTGTATAGGTAAATTATTGAACGTGACGTTATAAATATCGAGTTCCAGAACAAAAGCAGCGCGTGGCAGTAGCGCAATCAGGAATTTTTCATGGGGGGTCTGACAAAATAAACTAATAAATAAATAATAAATAATTATAATATATATATATATCTAGAATATGATATTAATATACATACCAAGGGGGGGGGGGTCCAGACCCGGAGTCCACCCCCCTGATTGCGTTACTGGCGCGTGGCAAGCAATTTTATCGGCCCCATCATCCATTAAAAGCGGGTAAGAGATTCTCTTAGTTATTACTATTAATACTAAATGCTAATTGAGTTTCGATAGCGTTGTACCTACTAAAATCAATTTAATAGTTTTCTCATGGATTTAGTTCCCTCCACCATCTCGTCTTAAGGGGCCTCGCTACTGCTATTATTTAAGGGGCAACATATAGGCAATTTCTAATCTCGTCGTAGCCGTCCGGGATATTTGTGTTAGTTATAAATGATTGTTAGTGTGAGTACAATTCAATGGGGGCAGAGTTGGGCAAAAACAAATCAAAATAATGAATAAAAAATAAAAGCCTGAATAACTAATTTATTTATGAATAAAGAATAATTTTTTATTCTGAATAATTGTGGTATACTAAATAAAGAATAAAATTATTCTGAATAGTTTTATTCGTTAATAAAACAATTATTTAGAATAAATTTATTCGTTAAAATCATGAATAATATTAAATAAATAATGATATTAAATATAAAAGTATAATTTATTTATTTTTGTCAATTATTATATATATTAATATGTATTACCTTTATATATATAATTTAAGTCTAAATAATAAGTATATTATCACTATACATCGTTATTTTGGATTTAAATTTATTATTTATATGATTATAGGGAATAACGAATAACGAATAACTAAATAATGAATAAAATATAGTAAATAAAAATCTCTGAATAATGAATAACGAATAATAATACAAATTAAAATAATGAATAAAAATAAAAATCAATAATAAAATTAAGAATAAATCAATGAAGAATAATTTTTTATTCAAATAATCAATCGAATAATATTTTATTCGACTAATGCCCAACTCTGAATGGGGGTACCGCTCTCCCTTACATACCATCAGGTAGTCGCTAGTCGTAATCATATTATTATAATCGGTGTCCCGTACTCGCGTGTTGAATGGCTTTGGAGAATTCGGTTCATTAGTTTTAACTTATTATGCTATGAATTGAGAAAAATAATAATATAGTCCGCAGTGTAAAATAATTTGTATAGTTATTATTGGTATAGATGATCTGGACCGTACAAATCTGGATATATATATCTGCATATCCACATTTATTTTGTCCCTGTTACCTACTTGAAGTGGTTTTGCTTAACAAGCCAAGGGATATTTTCGATTTGCGAAGTGTAGTGACGAGTGCCAATACATGCGTAATCGTATCCAAATTCATACGGTCCAGATAATGTACTTTCCAGATATGTACAGTTTAGATTTATGCGGTCCAGAATTCTAAATTCTAAGTTTATACGTGGACCCATAATATATAATATAAAAAAACAGGAAGAGTTTTAGATTATTATTATTTTTTTTTGCCAGATAATATAGATAGGTATATTGTATATATTTTGATGAATAGTTCAAGTATTATTGCATTAGTATAATATAGTTTAGAAGTTTAAGATATAGGTAGTTTAACATCAACTATTGTCATTATAATGTAGTATTATTAGTCATAGAAATAGTATACATAATAAATAACCAGTGAGGGTAATAATTACGAAATTTTCTGTTAGTGCAGTTCATACGATAAATTGTTAATTATTACAATTACGTACTTATTTTTTAATTATTATAATATTGTGATAAAATAGTATTATATAGGTAAAATTAAATTTTTTCTAATTACAATAACTAAATAGCCTTTACAGAAAGAAAGCTGAATAGTGACTGAATAATCAATTCAAAATTGAAATACAGAACGATAATAAATTATAATAACATCTAATGTAGGTGTATAATATTAATATCAGGGCGTGGAAATATAAGTAATTGCTAACATTATTATAGAATACCACGAAATAACGTATCCAATTATATTACACTGTTTAGGTATATTTAGCTAGACGTGGTGCGATTGCGGTACGGGGGGCTCTCGCACGCACTCGCACACACATGTCATCAGGTAATATCGTGATCGCAAAAAAATGTTTATTTTTCATTCCAACATACATTTCTAATTCCAACGCTATGTGTGGACAATTATCACGATTTTCATTCTAAAAAAATATTTGGATGCTCCGTAATATGTACAAGGGATCGATCGAGGCACATTTTAAAAATTGTATTTAGTTAATTAAATATTTAAGTTTGAAATTTTGTATTTTTTTGTATTTACAACAATATTTATTGCAACTCAAACTACAAAAATTAAGAATGTGGCTCGATCGTTCCCTTGTACATATTACGGAGCATCCGAATATTTTTTCAGAATAAAAATCGTGATCATTTTCGACACGTAGCGTTGGAATTAGAAACAGTAGTTTTTGTTAAAAAAAGACGTGGTGGTGAAGCCCCTTAATGCGTAAAAGTTAATATTTTGATAGATGCTTTTTTTTGGAAACAAAATTTTTGAATAGAATATTTTTCGAATATTCTCTGTAGCTATTATCAATTTTTTCACAAGTGAAACAGTTTCAAGTATATCTCGGGTTATTAGTTTTTAAGTGGAAAAACATCATACTGTAATGTTTTCTGTTTTGGAGATGACATTTCTGTACAGTTTTTAGTACATAAGTTCAATATCCGATTAACAATTATAGTATATAATTTATAACTGGAGCGAAGCTGAGAGTATTGGTCTAAAAATTAATGTTTATTTTATTTCCCTCCTCGTATCCTTCCCCCATAACATTACGAGTGTACGCTATTCGATGGTATACATTTCGTGGGACAATTCCGTCAACTTCTTCAGATTCAACAGATAGACCAAACGCAAACTTGTCCGTACGGCTTTAAGTTTGCAATCACCTGACTGAGTTGTACGTTACTGACCGGCGAAATTCCTATTTCGCAGCATGCTGATCTTGTCGTATCCGAACCCACAACTTAACGCATACCATATATTGTACATTTTTCCATTGGACTAATGATCGCGTCAATGCACGATGGGATTATGCGAACGGTAAGTGTTATTACATAAGGGATTGATCAAAACCGTTACCTTCGTGAGCATGCACCAAGGTGTCGACCACGTAGATCCCGTCGGAAACGTAGTCCAGTATCCACCAAATGGTCGGCATCGCGTTGTTCAGTTCCCAGAAAACGCCACGGCCAATCACAAACACTAGGTTGTACAGTATGGTAACAGTGACGAGCATGAGCCACTAAAAAAAAAAAAAAAAAACATTAGTTCGGGCAACAGATCCTTTAAGGAAATAAATTATGAACAAAATGAAGTAGTTTTAAACTGTTCATAGTTCTGTGGTTATACTCATTTTGATGTTGTAATGTATTCAATGAACTATGTAATTGCAATCGTATTTCCAAACAACGGCCGATGAAAAATATTTGATTTTTGGTTTTTGATTTTTTGATATGTTTAATATTAGATACTTCTTCTAAATATTTTTTGTTTTTATTTTTATCGAGGAATTCATTGTTTTGCCAGTTCTGCGTGGTTAATCCTTTGAAAAGTACTTTTTGGAATTAAAAAAAAATTTAAAATATCATGTCTGCTTTTGTACAGTATTATTTAAATAATTTAGTACTATTTCATTATAAATTGAACATGTAAATTGTCAGAACCTGATCGAAAAACTCCCGAACTTCAGAAAAAACGGTAACGAATTTCAATAATTTTATTCATAATAGTACGATAAAATTATGTTCATTTTTTCATAAAAATCGGGTCTTACAAAAGTGATCAATTGCATTTCATTCTTTGCCTAAGAATCGAAGACTAGATAACAAGTGCCCCATATAAGAGACGATAATCGAATAGCGTAACTACAATATAATTTTAAGGAAAATCGTATTTTATATTCATGGTCAATTACAGGCGTAGTATTTGAAAATCGAATACTGAAATTATAAGGTACACTAATCGATATCATGTTAATTAATAGTGTATCATTTAGTAAATAATTTTACCAATAACATTAACCTAACCTAATGATTATTGAAACATTCAAATCCTCTGCGAAATAACAAACCATTGTGAACTCAGGATTTACATCCATTTATTTAGTAACTGCAAATAATTCAAAATTTGTCCAGGCGTTAAAAAAACGAGTATAACGAGTAAAATATTTTTGTTTTTTTTTGAAAATAACATTTAAAAATTGTTAAATTCCGAAATCGGGTGACACTTCACAGTCGGGTGAGACAGGGTTGGGTGAATGATATGACCTTAATATTATTTAAAACTTTAAACCGATTTACTAATGCTGTCGAAAAAACAATTTTGAGTGTAAGGAGGTCAGGTGGATCAATCTGTACTACTAAATATGATATAATAACTAAATTTCTTAATAAATTAGGTTGAAATTTAAATATTCTCCCTTTCATAAAAAAAAGAAGCATGTATAATTCAGGAAAATCAAAAAATTTATAGTATCTATAAATAGCAATAATTGTATTACAATATTTCTAAATAACTATGAAACGCTACAACTTGTTTGCACACATTTAAAATTTTTTACCTGAAAATCGACGACTCGTTTGCACATGATGAAATCAGTCGTTTACTTGAAAATTTATAACTCGTTTGCGCACAACACATTCACACATATGACACGTGTGTACATATATTGTCACAAATTGAAGTACAAATTATCATATATATATACATATATTATCTTAATATTATCTTATAATCGACTGTGTAGTCTGTAGATTATATAATTTTGGATTTCCAATCAATTTTTAGTATTTCGGTAATTATGGACTATGGATATGTACGGTACATTGGTGACTAGTATGTTGACGACGTAAACTTTAATATAGCGTAGAAATTTCTAATACTTTTGAATCTCGGTGAGGAAAACGATGTTTTAATATTGAAAATTATAAATATAGTGAATACCGTGTTTTAATAAATGGATATTCAAATTTTAGAAGTATAAATATAAAATGTCTTGCGAGTATTATTGTTAATAAATCAAACAAAATAATAAAAATAACCAACTCTCATAATCGCGAGGAATATAATAATCAATGATAAAAACTAAACAAGTTCTGACACTAAGAATTTTCGTCACTGGTAGCCAAAATATATTTGCGCAATTGAGTTGTGCATTTTTGCGCAAACGAGTTGTAAAAAAGGTAAATGTGCGCAAACGAGTTGTAGTCCTATGAAATGTTATTGATTCAATATTTAATATCAATAAATAGAAATACCTGAGTTGAAAAATATGAATTTATCAAAATTTAATTTTTTTAAATATTTTTGCGACTATTTAATAGATGTTTATATTACATTTTATATATTCAAGAATAATAAATAAAAAATTTATAAATTATTGACTACAAAAATAAAGCGTATTTCCTTGTTTTAATAGTTTAATCAAAATTTATTATTTAAACGTTTGTAACTTTTTTTTTAATTTAATTATGTTACATTTATATTATATTTATTTATTATATTAAGTATGTACGAGGATAAGGAATTCTTAATGCATTTTCAAAATATTTTTTTACATCAAAATTTTACTTTTGGTATTACATTTTGAAATATTTATTAATAGTTAATAAAAATATTTTGAAAATTATACTATCTATAGCAAAAAGTGATATAAGCACTCAGTTTGAACTTTAAATCAATATTATTATAATGTTTTGAGTGACAATGAAAAAAATTAAAATTTGTCGGAAATCGGTTAACCATAATTTTTGTTGGTTTGCTTTTATAAATTTTCGTGAGTTATTTGCAATTATTATCATATTATGATCATTTTTTGGAAATTCGTAAACGGCTGCCTCAAAGTATCAACTAGATAACATTATCTATCAGAAATCTCTTAGAATTTCAATGATTGGAGTAATTCTGGTCGAAATCGTGTACAAAGCTATATAAAAAAATATTACACCCAGCATAGTAAAAAACCAATATATTCCTCATTTCACTTAGAATCTAAAAATCGAATCATAACATAACGTTATTTTTATTTCATGGACCCGTTTTGATTTTATACCATGAGGATGATTCGTTAGAGTGACTTTAGATTTTGTTTACAAAAGTAAACTTTTTGAAAAAAAAAAAAAAAATGATTCTCATCATGTAAATATTACTATTATTACCTTGTTAACTATGATATCCAATAAATATTAATGCATATAGTCTATATGATCTACGGTTAATTAATTTTATTTTTTATTTGAAAATATAATTTAAATTTTTACATCTTTAAATACAATAATTAATTACATATGATAACACGTTCATATTCATATTTGCACCCAAGGATAATATGAAGTTGGGAAGATCAATGACCTGTATGGTGAAACAACTATTAATTGTGTTTTGAAAGTAGTATATTAAGCTGGGTACTAGCGAAGATCAAAAAAAAAATAATTTTTTCGGTTACAGGATATTATTCAAAGACAAAAAGGCTTAGAGGACATCCCAGACAAAACTGGAAAGATAGAGTGGTCAAGAACAGTGGCATAGTTAGATTTGAAGAAGAAACACGCTTACATATTAGAATTAGTGAAATGACAGATGGGTAAGCGCTTAGTAATGCAACCCAACAAATTAATTTGGTGGACTAGGTAGTTCTAGACTTGGTAGGCATTTTTTTTGGTTATCAGTTAGAGTTATTATAGTTGATGTAAGAAGAAAAAATTTCTTATAGTGGAATTTGACGATTTTGGGTTATTTGGTGAAGTATTGTGAATTTTTCTAAACTTAACTAGTTTTCCATATTAACTTTAAACAAATTGTAAACCTTTGTTCCTTAAAAATCGTCACCGTATAATTAACAACTAAAACTTTTTTAAATAGAATGAAAACTTTTTAGGTTTATTTTCTATCATCTCATGTGTACAACAAATATCCATTGATAACTGTAAAAATGATATTTATTTTACGAACAAAAACAATTATGCCTCATTGCAATTAATACGTTATTTGAATAAAAAACAAAAATATATTTTTTATGTTTATGTTATTTACTATAATTATTATAGTTTATATATTATATACTATAAAATATTGTCGATATTTACTATTGTATTTGACTAGTAATTTTTGTAAGAATTGCAAAAATTCATCGTTCCTTATGATATACATGATATGCATTATTATCATTATGATTCATTATTTTTAACAGGTAAGACCCCTGCATATGAATGTTTATTTTTCATCAGTGAAATATTTCCAAATAAAAATGTTTCGAAATATACCATTTTACTGGATGGAATAAACGGCTATAATATTATCCTACCAACTGTAATAAAAATCGGATTTCAGATTTTACATGGGATTAGTTTTTCCTCCGTCCAATAATGTAATATATTTATTTCGAATAAAAATCACACGGGACGTCCCAACATTCGCTGAGTGCTGTAAGCGTAGATATATATATAGGTGGTTCAGTTAAGCGACAAATGCACTCATGTTCCAGTATGTTGCAGAAGTCAATTAGTTGAAAACATTATTGTGTGTAGAACAAAAAGCAACTCACGCATAATTAATCGTATACGAGATATCAGGCGATTTTTCCCACCGGTGTGTAGGTGTATGTTACACGGCACTGCGCAGGTTATTATAATGATTTTAACACGTAGAGATAGCACTTGCGTGGTTCTTTAAGTGTCCTCTGGTGGTGAAAAACGTTTGAAAATGATACACAAAATAAAATATACCGGTAGCGAAAAAATGTATTTGTCCGTCCATAGTTATTAGATAGTCGAATGAACCATTATAATACTGTCACTGGATATTGTACCATCTGTGTGCAATACTTGTTTTAAAAGTTTTACTGTTTGTTACAGTTAACGTGTTTGATAGGTATCATTGTCACGCGCATCATTGTCAAAATGATTATAATCGATTCAAGACAAAGAGTTGGGCGATGATTCGTTTGTCTTTTTTTTTTTCATACAAAAAATAATAGCTGTAAACCTATAAAATGCGCTATGATCACACATTTTATTATTGCCACTGTGCAATAAAATAAAATAATATATGTGGTCGGTAACTAAACCCTATAGTCTTAAAATACACTCAATTAAATATGCGATTTATACATTTTCTTTTATCTTAAATTATTTTCATTAGATGCACATTAGATATGGAAGACTGAATGCTTGAGGTTATATCCCGTCTACTAAGCTATTTTATTCAGTTCACTGCATTTATTCAATTGTGTACCTTTTTTATTAT